AACTAATAATTTTTTAAAAATTTTATTTATTATCATTATTTTTTGGACCAGAGAGAGACAGAGAAGGAAGGTGAGAAATCAAGCCGCTAGGTCTGGGGACTTGAAATGAGGTCTGCAATGTGGGAGTCCAGTGCCTTAACCACACCACCTGCTGGGCCCCAAAGAATTCATTATTAATTGATTTGTTTTAGGACATATAAGCTCACTGGAGAGAGACAGAAAAAGAGGGAAAGTAAGAAAGTACCTCCCAGGGGAGATAACTACACTGAAATCCCTTCTCCTCCCTTCTCCTCTTGGGATTTTGGGCAAGGATGCACAGATACCTGGCGAGATTTTCAAACTGCCAGTTCTGAGGCTCAAACGGTATAGTCAACCATGTAGGATCCACATCACTGACTGGCTACAAATTAACTGATTTTTAGACAGAGGAAAAGCAAAATTAGATCCCCTCTCCCCCTGGGAAACTCTATTTTTTATTTTTTTAATTGTCAGAGGGTGTGTGTGTTGCCAAAGAGAGACAGAGACAGGGAGAGGGAGAAAATATTTTTCAGTGAGTTGTAATCACACTGCAGTCCCTTCTCCATCCTATTGGGACTTGGGACACGTGCACAACAACCCAGCATGTTTTCAAGTCACCAGGGCTGGGAATCAAACTGTGAATGACCATGTGGGATCCAGTTCCCTGAACTACTAGGCTGTAGAGTTGGATCTTCCAGGAAACTCTAGGGGCAAGATGGAGGATGAACTGGCATTAACAGAGAACTAAGAAAGAGATGTCAAAGTTTAGCTCACTAAATAAATAGGGCTTCAAAGACTCTTGTGATAGAGTACCAAAATTCAGGATCTCATTTTTGGTCTTTAAAACCAGAAATCTGATTTTCAATGCCTATTGTGGAAAAGATAATTAAAGACTGACTTGCAATAACCAAATTCATAAGAGACTGTGGCATAAACTATAATTCTAATTTACTAATATATTAGGTCATCGGAAAAGTCATGACCTATTTTTCTATGTTTTTCTATAAAAAAATGCATCATGACTTTTCTGATATCACAATACATTCATTCATTAATTCACTAAATATAGTCATGTATGATTTAATGATAGGGATATGTTCTGAGACATGCATCATTAGGCAATTTTACTGTTGTGGGAACATCATGGTGTATACTTACATAAATCTAAATTGTATAACCTATACACTTAGGCTATATGGTATAATCTATTCCTCTACTGCTGTATATGCAATCAGATGTTGACCAAAACATCATTACTTTGTGGTAGATATTATTCTAAAGAGATAAGGACATAGATGTGGTTAACAAAGACCTCACTTCACAGAATTACATTCTAATGTGAAATACATATTTCCAGAGATTGAAATATTTACTTAACTTTGCTGGGCAGAGTATTTTATTCCTAATGTAATGGTAACAATGAGTCTAAGTTGGTAATCTAAACATAGTTTGGGCCAGCCAGTGGCATGGTAGTTAGAAAAGCTGGATCCCACATGTCTGATTGTACAGTTCAAGTCCTGGATCTGGCAGCTTGAGAAACATGCCATATGTGTATGTATGTGCATGCCCAAAACCTGAATAGGAGAAATGGAGAAGGGATTGTGGTGTTGCTCTCTCCCATGGGGGATGCTTTCTTATTTTCCTTCTCTTTCTCTGTTTTTCTCTGGCAAGCACATGTGCCCTCTGGCACATTTTTAAAAATACATTGTTTGGGGAACCAGCAGTTAGCGTAATGGCTATGTCGCTGGACTCCCATGTAGTCGACCGCGGTTCACGTCCCGGACCCGGTGGCTTAAAACTCACGCCGGGCGCGTGTGCGTGCGTGCCCAAGATCCCGAGAGGAGAATGGAGGAGAAGGGATTGCAGCGTGACCATCCCCCCTGGGGGGTGATTTCTCGCTTTCTGTCTCTATGTCTCTCTCTGTCTGTCTGGCGAGCGCACGCGCCCTACAGTGAAAATCTCTCCCGAAAAAAAAAAAATACATTGTTTGGTGAATGATAAAAAAGAGAGGCAGTTGATATAAGGAATGTATTATTAAAGCCTAAGAAATGCTCTATGCTCTAGCTTAAATGTACCTCTCTAATGACTAGCTAAACAGTGTTCTTTGGTATTTTAATTTTATTTATTTTAACTGCCAGAGTGCCAGTGTGCTCACCAGAGATGGGGGTAGAAGGGGTGGGACACCCCCTAAAGGGGCAAGGTCACATTGCAATCCCATTTTTTCCCACCTCTCCATTTTGTCGGGATTTGGGGCATACACACTTGTCTAGCATTAATGGTGCTCTTTGGATTTATGATTTTGTTATCTTGAACATTGCTAAATAGAAAAACATGACCAAATCTTGGCTAATTCCTCTTTTTCTGGGTTCCAGGTGAACCATGTGAATTTTAACATACACTTTCAGACATATTAAATAATATACTTTAATTATATTAACTGCAGTCATTTCTATCACACATGATTAAATAAAGACTCCAACTTCAACTATTTCACTGTAAGCAATCATGTTATAATTCTGGACACCACCGGATAGTCACTCATGAATTCAATAAAGATTTACCAAATATTTATTAAGTGCCTATGATGAATACTCTGCAAGGTACTAGGAATATTAAAGTGAACAAGACAAATTTTGTGCCTGTACATTATTTTTTTAAAAATAATTATTTATTTATTATCATTATTTTTCAATTTTGACCAGAGACAAAGAGAAAGAGCAAGGTCCAGGACTCGAACTACAGTCGGTCATAAAGGAGTTCAGCACCCTTACCCACTATGCCACCTGCAGGCCCCTGTACGTTCTAATAATGAAGTGAGATTAAGAAAAATCAGAAGCAACAGACCAATTTTTTTAATAATTATTTAATCTTATTTGTCATTAATTATTATTACTACTATTATTATTTTAAATTTGCTATAGGCACATGTGTTCATGAGAGAGACAGAGAGAAAGTGAGAAAGCAAGCCACCCACCAGGTCTGGGACTCAAATTGCAGTTGGCCATGTATGAGTCCAGGGTTTCAACCATCATGTCACCTGCTGGCCACAAACAGACCAATATATTAAATGAGCTGTGATAAGTGTCATGAGGGGGCAAGAAGAAAATGCTATAATATCTAGGAAAGAGATGACAATCACCTAGACTAGGGCAGTGGCAGTAGAGATAGAGAAAAGTGGTTGTATTTGATAATTCACTTTGGAGATTGAATCAACAAGACTAGGTAATGAACTGGATAAAGGTGAGGGAAAGGGAAGAATAAAAGGTAATTCTTGGGTTTCTAACTTGAGCAACTGAGTAGAGAGCAGTATCCTCAACAGAAAAGAACACTTGCTATTGGAAATAGACAGAATTGTGCTTTAGATACAACAACGTTGAAATCTCTGTAAGACAAACAAACATGAAGAAATAGGCACTTGGATATGTGAGGCTGGAATTCAGACATTTGGATTAGAAATAATGGTATGGGAACCACTGACATAATGACACTACTAGAGAGAGTTTTTCTTAAACAATGTTTTCAGAATTGGTGATTCCTAAAAATTCTCCTGCATTTAAAGAAAATCTCTCAAATCATTTCTACACATGACTAAACTTAATTAAGAGTTCATTACTACTAGTTTAGTTCTCAAAGGATAAACCTACACAAGAATTCTTTTGGGAGGGAGCCCTACTGTACCTTCTGTCTACTACACAGAGATAAATTTAAATGAAAAGTTACTACATGCTTTTCATATCGGTGACTTTTTCCATTTTGTTACAAAAGCTAACTATTAAAGGCTCTATGTAATGAGGTACTTATAGATGAAAAGAGTTGACTATGTATAGTTTTCTACATGAACTACAATAACTCAATTATGTTTTCTGTAAGTTAAATATCATCCATGGGGATGTGTGACCCTGTTTATCATGTACAAAGAGTACAATACTATATTAAGAATCATGAAATGGGATCAGCAGTTGGCATAATGGCTATGTTGCATGACTCCACGTAGTCAACCGTGGTTCGAGTCCCAGACCTGGTGGCTTAAACTCACAAGGGGCATGCGTGTGTGCATGTCCAAGATCCCGAGAGGAGAATGAGGAGAAGGGATTGCGGCATGGCCATCCTGGGGTAATTTCTCACTTTCTGTCTCTCTGTCTCTCTGGTGAGCACATGAGCCCTTATAGCAAAAACCTCTCCAAAAAAATCATGAGATCTGGTTTCTACTTCAAGTATTGTTCCATTTTACCTTGTTTAAAACAGCTTCTATAGACTTGCTATTTTATAGGTCAAATGAAATTATGGAATATTTTAAAACATATCATTTAGCATGAAATTGAAGAATTACCATAACTAGCTTACTACTAGGCAGCTGGAGATGTGGGGTGATGCTGAGCATAAAGAATGGTCCAGGGATCAGCAGTTAGTGTAATAGCTATGTCGCTGGACTCCACGTAGTCGACCGCAGTTCGCATCCCGGACTCGGTGGCTTAAAACTCACGCCGGGCACATGTGCGTGCGTGTCCAAGATCCCGAGAGGAGAATGGAGGAGAAGGGATTGCGGCATGGCCATGCCCACTGGGGGCGATTTCTTGCTTTCTGTCTCTCTGTCTCTCTCTGTCTGTCTGGTGAGTGCACGCGCCCTATAGCGAAAAACCTCTCCAAAAAAAAAAAAAAAAGAATGGTCCAGAGCGATGATGCCACTGAAGGTTCTAGTAATCTGTTTTTCACTATTTTTTGTGGACTCCATAATCTGGCTTCTGTATCTATAAAACAGGAATATCAAAGTGGTTTGCTTCATCATATTAGAAAAAAAATAATGTCTATATGCTTTCTAGAGATTCCTAGATGAAAGAAGTTATGAAAACAGACGATTATTTGTGTTGATGCTCCATAAAAGCTAGCTCTTGGAAACCTTGAAAAGCTTAGCAAATCACTACTTCCTGACTTTTGGCAATTTCCCAGGGAATCTTGACATTTCCTGGAAAACAAATTATTACCTTGGAGGAAGCCTGAAATCTCTGAAGGAACATTTCTTTCAAGTAGCCAGTTCAGTGAGGTTATACTTGGTACCATGCTGTAAAGGAAAAGAAATCTTCTTACAAAAGTGATCAAGATGATTTGTGAAGTATACTAGGACTTCCCAAATGGAGTGGAGGTACAATAAGGCCTTACTAAGACTTTCTTACTTTATCTGTTTTTTTTTTTTTTTTTTTTGGTAATTGTTTTGTTTTTTCTAAGAATCATGAAATGGGATCAGCAGTTGGCATAATGGCTATGTTGCATGACTCCACGTAGTCAACCGTGGTTCGAGTCCCAGACCTGGTGGCTTAAACTCACAAGGGGCATGCGTGTGTGCATGTCCAAGATCCCGAGAGGAGAATGAGGAGAAGGGATTGCGGCATGGCCATCCTGGGGTAATTTCTCACTTTCTGTCTCTCTGTCTCTCTGGTGAGCACATGAGCCCTTATAGCAAAAACCTCTCCAAAAAAATCATGAGATCTGGTTTCTACTTCAAGTATTGTTCCATTTTACCTTGTTTAAAACAGCTTCTATAGACTTGCTATTTTATAGGTCAAATGAAATTATGGAATATTTTAAAACATATCATTTAGCATGAAATTGAAGAATTACCATAACTAGCTTACTACTAGGCAGCTGGAGATGTGGGGTGATGCTGAGCATAAAGAATGGTCCAGGGATCAGCAGTTAGTGTAATAGCTATGTCGCTGGACTCCACGTAGTCGACCGCAGTTCGCATCCCGGACTCGGTGGCTTAAAACTCACGCCGGGCACATGTGCGTGCGTGTCCAAGATCCCGAGAGGAGAATGGAGGAGAAGGGATTGCGGCATGGCCATGCCCACTGGGGGTGATTTCTTGCTTTCTGTCTCTCTGTCTCTCTCTGTCTGTCTGGTGAGTGCACGCGCCCTATAGCGAAAAACCTCTCCCAAAAAAAAAAAAAAGAATGGTCCAGAGCGATGATGCCACTGAAGGTTCTAGTAATCTGTTTTTCACTATTTTTTGTGGACTCCATAATCTGGCTTCTGTATCTATAAAACAGGAATATCAAAGTGGTTTGCTTCATCATATTAGAAAAAAAATAATGTCTATATGCTTTCTAGAGATTCCTAGATGAAAGAAGTTATGAAAACAGACGATTATTTGTGTTGATGCTCCATAAAAGCTAGCTCTTGGAAACCTTGAAAAGCTTAGCAAATCACTACTTCCTGACTTTTGGCAATTTCCCAGGGAATCTTGACATTTCCTGGAAAACAAATTATTACCTTGGAGGAAGCCTGAAATCTCTGAAGGAACATTTCTTTCAAGTAGCCAGTTCAGTGAGGTTATACTTGGTACCATGCTGTAAAGGAAAAGAAATCTTCTTACAAAAGTGATCAAGATGATTTGTGAAGTATACTAGGACTTCCCAAATGGAGTGGAGGTACAATAAGGCCTTACTAAGGCTTTTTTACTTTATCTTTTTTTTTTTTTTTTTTTTTGGTCAGTAGTATGTGTGCTTACCATACACAGAGAGAGAAAGAGAAAGAGAGAGAGAGAAGATAGCATTCCCACCTCCCAATGGGGAAAGAACACTCCTGTCTCTTTCATCTTCTCGTTTTAGAAATTTTAGGAAGGCAGGAACCAGCAGTTAGCGTAATGGCTATGTCGCTTGCCCTAGACCGCGGTTCGCGTCCCGGACCCGGTGGCTTGAAACTCACGCTGGGCGTGTGTGCGTGCGTGCGTGCGTGCCCAGAATCCCGAGAGGAGAATGGAGGAGAATGGATTGCGGCATGACTATCCCCCCTGAGGGTGATTTCTCGCTCTCTGTCTCTATGTCTCTCTCTGTCTGGTGAGCGCAAGTGCCCTATAGTGAAAAAATCTCTCCAAAAAAAAAAAAGAAATTTTAGGAAGGCACGCACATGCACCTAGTATGTTCTCAAGTTGCCAGGTGCGGGACTCAAACTGTGTGGTTGGTCAAGTGCAATCCAGTTGCCTTGAACAGGTAGGGAGCTGGTGCCTTACTGTGTGTTGGTTGGTGTGAACTAATTTTGTCAGTATGAACTGAATAATGTAAGAGTTATTTCCTATGAGCTCCTTTTCTACATCTCTATCACTAATCTTCTTCCTTTGTTTTTCCCATTTTATTTGGTTTTCCTCTCTTGTTCTTCATTTTCTTAGCTGAATACCCTTTTCAAAAACTCAGTGGAGGGACCAGCAGTTAGCTATGTCGCTGGACTCCCATGAAGCCGACTGCGGTTCGAGTCCCGGACCTGGTGGCTTAAACTCACGCCAGGCGTGTGTGCCCAAGATCTCGAGAGGAGAATGGAGAAGGGATTGTGGTGTGGCCATCCCCCCAGGGAGTGATTTCTCGCTTTCTGTCTCTCTGTCTTTCTGGCAAGCGCATGTGCCCTATAGCAAAAACCTCTCTAAAAAACAAAACAAAACAAAACTCAGTGGACAGCTTTCCTCTTTTTTCTTCAGGGTATTCTCACCTAAAGCAATTTGAAGACTGTCACACCCCAAGTACTTGTTACTTCTCAAAGACCCCAAAAGAGGTAGATAGTGTACAACCAGAGGTTGTCAACCAAGGGTGATTTTGTTTTCTGGAGTTATCTGGCAATGTTTGGAGACATTTTTGGTTGTCACAACTAGAGAGAGGATGCTAATATCATCTAGTGAATAGAGGTCAGGAATGCTACTAAACATCTTGCAATGCACAGAACACCCTACAACAAAGAACTGTATTGCCAAAATGTCAATATAACTTCTGTTGAGAAACTAGTATGCACAGATACCAGTAGCTAAAGATGACTGAGGTTTGGTGGCAGCCATAGAAGCTCCTTTGTGATTCAGATTTTCAAGGTGGTAAATGGTTAGCCACTGACATAAGAACATCTGGACTTGGTTCCCCAGGTCCCCTCTTTTACTGGCTGTAAATAACTTTCAAATGACTATTCAATGCCACAAAAGCAATTTGCTCACCTAGAAAAAGGGACTAATAAAATATTCATCTCACTAAATGACACTGTTTGGAGGCAAGGACCTACTATGCTTAGATTAGGGACTGGTATCTTAGTAGGGAGTAAAACTATATAAATATTTGTGGGTTATTTTACACAATTGTCTTGAGGTCTAAAGCATATATTAAATAATATGGAACATAGTGGGGAGAAAAGCAGCTAGTATATGTGTGTGGTTGAACATAATTTCACAGAACATCAACATTAAACAAGGCCATTCTGTAACCATGACGAATCAAAAAACCAACAACAAAAAATCCATTCTGTAACCATGTCTGAATACAAATTAAAAACCCAAACCCAAACCCAAATATTATTCCAACTACAAAAAAATGACCAGATGTCTCCTAACAGGATCTACTGCTTTACCAGTGGCAGCATTCTCCTTGCTGGGTTCTTCTACTTTTTTATGTAAGAACTATCAACACATCCAATCATTGGGACCAGCAGTTGGCATAATGGCTATGTCACTGGACTCCCATGTAGCCATCTGCAGTTCGAGTCCCAGACCTGGTGGCTTTAACTCACACCGGGCATGTGTGGGTGCATGGCCAAGATCCCAAGAGGAGAATGGAGAAGGGATTGCAGTGTGGCCATCCCCCCGGGGGGTGGTTTCTCGCTTTCTATCTCTCTCTCTGGCAAACGCACACGCCCTATAGCAAAAAACCCCCCCCCCCCCCAAATCTAATCATTGAATTATTCCCAACTTTTTCTAAAAGAGAATGATTTTACTTTATTATTTATTTACGTATTTATTTTAACTTGACCAGAGAGGGGCAGAGTGAGAGAGAAAAAGAGAAAAATTACCTCCACCTTCTGAAAAATCCAATCCAGAAAGAAGCCCTGCTTCCTCCAATTCTACCCTAATTTACCTAACACAAGCCCAAATCCTGTAAATTCTTTCCCACACCATCTGCCTGAGCTGCCCAGCTGCTCCCTAAGCTGTGCTTCCCTCCTATAAGAAGACATTAAGCCCCACTTTGTCCAAATATAGGGACGTTGTTCCCAGGGTCTATTGCCAGAGAGCATTAACAGTAGCGAGAGCCCCCTACAGGGTAGCGGCTGCTGCCATTACACCTCATGATGGGTTGCGCGATGTATATTTTGAAGCTTCCGGATAGACTCTCGTCAGGTCTTTTCTCCGTAAGGGACACATTCTCTCCTCAATCTACCCAGGGAGAGAAGGGGGTAACTTTTGGTTTCTGACCTCCCAAGTAGAAAGCCAGCATGTTAAAGAGCTCATGAAGTAAAACCCCTCAGAAAGGTGCGCGCCTTCAGTCCCAACTGAGAATTCCCCAAATAGTGGAACACCTCAGAGGCGCGGGGGAAACTACCGTCCCAAGGGGTTCACATTACCGAGTGTCCTATTACTACCTTAACCCAGGAGGAATGGCCCCCAAGCCGCCGTACAAGTAGCGGAGAAGAGCGCTTTACAGGCAATGCAAAACTCTGTGAAGGATTGAGAGGACAGTCACTACCCGCAATCGAACCTTCCGGCTGCCACTCTCAGACGTCGCGCACTAATCGCTTGGCTTCTGCCGCGCAAGCGCTCTCCTCTTCTAAGTGGACCACAAGTCCCGGCATGCCTAGCGCCGCAGTGTCGCTTGGTAACTCGCGCCACTCACAGCGCTCTGGTTTGGCCGTGCCAAGCGCCTGCGCCTTGGGGGATTCTGCGCAGGCGCATATCCAGCGCTTGGGAGGAGGGCGGGGTGTCGTTCCCTTTCGCTGATGCAAGAGCCTAGTGCGGTGGTGGGAGAGGTATCGGCTGGATCTGCGCTGCCGCCGGGGCCTGAGACCGACTCGTGTGACTTCCCGTCCGTGCCGAGCCCACTCAAGTCGCAGCCATGTCCGGGGACGAGGTGAGGGACTAAGCCCGGCTCTAGGGCTAAGGACTGAGGCGGGAAGCCAAACTCGCCCCAGTGTGGGAGACCCGGCCTGCGGCCTAGCGGCCGGCCGCCGCCATGTGGGGGCAGCCGGGCCTAAGCGGCCGGGAGCGGTAGAGCGGACGAGGACTTCGAGGCCGAAGGCTTGACCCCACCCGGCTTTCTTCAGGGCAGCGGCGCCGAGGCCAGGTTCCTTCCGTGGCCGGCGTTTCCGGAGTGGAAAACACGTTGTGTCGCGTGCCCTGGAGGGGCTGGAATGGCCATTTAGTTCCTTGACTGACGAGATTGGGGTTGGCAATCCCCGAATTCCTTTCTGATGGAGACTGCAGCCCCACCTTGGCTTGGTGGGCACCGGGGTCCCGCGAGTATCTTTCCTCGCAGTCGGTGAAGAGCCCTTGTTAAAAACTTTATAGGTTGGCCTCTCTGGGCCGGTGTCGCTTGTTCTTCTCTAAAGCATTAGTTCTAAAAAAGACCAGGGGATGAGGGAGATAGGACAAGAGGAAAGGAAGTGACAAACTTTCCGGGCAGGAGTCCCCGAGCTTCCTTAATGTAGAGCTCACAGGGACCTGAGTGGAAAGTCTGTTCTGCGAAGCTGGCCGGATCTTTCTCTACACATTGTGCATGGGTCTCAGCGAATTTCCTCAAATCACTTTTTTCCATATTTTTCCTACTTCATGTGAAACAAACGACTTAAGATGAGGCTGGTGTTAAGTGCTCTCAAGGTATTGCTTAACACTGGGAAGTAGAGCTGTTTTCTAGCAAGCCCCCCTCCCCCCCAAAAAAGAAAAAAAAAACAGGAAAAATGTATTATTCACTTGGCCAATAGGGCCCTGGAGGGTCAAAGAGGAACAATATGAGACTATGGAGAGTTGACTTTTGAGGTAGGCCCCCTCAGGCAGTGAGAAGACTTGATCACAAGGTAAGGAAATGGTTGAAAAAGGCAAGTCAGTGTTCACGGAAAATCGCACATTCTTCAGTTTGTTAGAATTACGGAGTGAAGACTTGATAAGTAGGTAATGGAGGGACCAAATTAAGGAATTTGGAATAAATTCTGGAAGAGACTCCAGTCTCACTTGGTTCTTACAACAACCCTGTAAAATAGGTCCTATTTCTGTGCCCATTTTGGAGAAGAAAGAGACTTAAAGTTGTGTAATGCCTGTAATCAAACTGTGACTGAACCAGGAGAATTCCAGATTCATGCAATAATAATTGTCTTTATCTAGATGATTAAGAGGCTCTTTAGAGAAACTAAATCGGAAGAAGGTGATGGTTTTTCATTGGAGGTCATGGTAGACATTGCTTTAGGCTACTATGTTTGTTTGATTTTTTTTGAGAGGTTTTTGCTATATGGCTCATGCACTCACCAGAGAGAGACAGAAAGTGAGAAATCACCTCTTTGGGGGGATGGCCACACCACAGTCCTTTCTCCTCTCGGGATCTTGGGCACACATGCACACACGCCTGGCCTGGATTTAAGCCACTGGGTCTGGGACTTGAACCACGGATGACTACTTGGGAGTCCAGCGACATAGCCATTATGCCAACTGCTGGTCCCATAGGTTACTATGTTCTGAGAGTGGCAGAATTATTTAATTTTCACTTACTCGTTCACTCATTTTTAATTTGACTAGAGGGAGGGAAAGTGAGAAAGCAAGCCACCAAGTCCAGGACTCCAACTGTGGTCAGCCATGTGGGAGTATCCACACCTTAACCATCATGCCACCCACTCGTTCCTGAGAGTGGCAGTGTTTAATGTTTGTTTTGTTTCTGCTAATTTCCCCAACTTTTCATTAACTTTTAGCCAAGTACAATATTAATGTAGTGCAAGATACTGTGGGTTGTTACTTTGTGTATCATTTCTTTGGTAGAGTACTCAGTAAAGTAAGGGAGGGAAGAGATACAGCTGTAATCTAAAATAGAAACTACTGGTTGCTGAAGAAGTAGAAATAGGACCATCAACACACTGATTTTGGGGGGCTGGGACAATCATTTTTAGCAGTGGGGTCAGATTTTGAAAGAAGTGAATTATGAATACAGTACTGAGGGATGAACGGGATTTTGTCAGAGATCACAGAACCAGCATTCCAACCTAGGACTTTGGAAGCCAATAAAGTATTAAGCAGTTTGGTACTTTTCAGGTCTATCAGTCTAACTTCATTTTATAGATAAGAAACAAGGACCCGAGAGACTAAACTTGCCCACTTTTGGTCAAGTAACAGCTTAGTGGAACTACTTGACTTTTGATTTCCACTGTATCAGGTTAGGGGCAGAAGAAAGTATGTAGAACAGGGTATAGGTTCTGTTTCTAGTGATGTTGACTAGATAAGTATTCTTAGGCCAGTCTTACTTTCTGACTATAGTCTTGTGAAGATCAAATGCAAAGGTACTTGGGAATGATCTATAAACTGCCTGGAACTTCCCAGTGTGGGAGTAATCCTGCCTGGTAACTGGGATAAAAGATTAAAGAGCCTACTATTAAAAAAGTAGTTTTATTTTTTTTCTCACATTTCTTCCCCTCAACATAAACTGTACATGTTTCTTTTTAAAACTGATAATTAAGCAAAAAGCAATTAAAATTGCCCTTTTTAACCAAGTGGAGCTATGAACTTTCAGAGGCAGTATCAGAGACCGGCAGGTGGTGTGGTGATTAAAGGTTCTGGACTTCCGCAAGGCAGACCACAGTTTGAGTCCCAGACCTGGCAGCTTGCTTTTCACTTGCCCTCTCTCTCTGGTTCTCACTCTCACTCTGTCCCTCTCTGGTCAAATTTAAAATAAATAAATAAAGTTAAATAAAATAATTCTTTTAAAAAAAGAAGCATGGGAACCAGCAGTTAGTGTAATGGCTATGTCGCTGGACTCCCACGTAGTCAACCTCGATTTGCGTCCCGGACCCGGTGGCTTAAAACTCATGCCGGGCACGTGTGCATGTGTGCCCAAGATCCCGAAAGGAGAATGGAGGAGAAGGGATTGCGGCGTGACCATCCCCCCTGGGGGGTGATTTCTCGCTTTCTGTTTCTATGTCTCTGTCTGGCGAGCGCACGCGCCCTATAGCAAAAACCTCTCCAAAAAAAAAAAAGCAGTATCCTAGAAATGTGTATACTACCTGATAAGGGAAAAAAATCCCTAATCTACGGTCGTTTGGTATTTTTTAGACCATTTTTAAAAGATACTCTCAATATCTCAGGTTTACTTAATACAGGATTCATTCACAATGTGTCAGAACCTTGGATTTTCAGGGACCAGCTGGACTCCCACGTAGCCGACAGCGGTTCGCGTCCCGTACCCGGCCCAAGATCCGGAGAGGAGAATGGAGAAGGGATTGTGGCGTGGCCATCCCCCCTGGGGGGTGATTTCTTGCTTTCTCTCTGTCTCTCTCTCTCTCTCTGTCTGGCGAGCGCACACGCCCTATAGCAAAAACCTCTAAAAAAAAATAAAAAGAACCTTGGATTTTCAAATAGTGTGGTAAGGCGTTTTTGCAAAAGGAGCTTTAAACTAAGTTTCTGATTAAAGATGGAACATATGTTGGAGTTGACAGATGACGTGGTGGTTGAGGGTGCTGGACTCCCACATGGCTTACCATGGTTCAAGTCTCAGATTTGGCGGCTTTCTCTCTCTCTCTGGTCAAATTGAATAATAAAATTTTTTTTTTTTTTTTGGGAGAGATTTTCACTGTAGGGCGCGTGCGCTCACCAGACAGACAGAGAGAGACATAGAGACAGAAAGCGAGAAATCACCCCCCAGGGGGGATGGTCACACCGCAATCCCTTCTCCTCCATTCTCCTCTCGGGATCTTGGGCACGCACGCACACGCGCCCGGCGTGAGTTTTAAGCCACTGGGTCCGGGACACGAACCGCGGTCGACTATGTGGGAGTCCAGCAACATAGCCATTACGCTAACTGCTGGTTCCCAATAATAAAATTTTTAAAGAGCATATGTTAAGTGAAACCAAGAGGATATAAAGAAATTTTAAAATCTCCCAAAATCCTATCACCCAGCAATGACAACAGTATTAGCATTGCCTTCCTTCTTTGTGGGTTTCTTTTGTGATTCACACCTGCCTTCTGAATATAGTATGACCATAAAGTTGATTTTTTTGGGTAACGAGTGTGATGGATGGTAGGAGGCTTTCAGTTTGATGAAGTGGTTCAGGCTATTGTCATGGTAATTTTACCTGGTATACCTTTTCCATGCCTTTACCAAACTAACTGGAGAAGTTGAAAATGGAAACTATATTTTTGGAGGCTTTGTTGTGGATTTAAGAAAAAATAGCACAAGAGATTCTATTATTTTCCATTGTTGCACTATGAGCAACTATTTGCTTCTGAAAATCAAACTGTTTTCATAAACAAAACATTTGGAATGTGGCCATCTGGTAATTTAGAAGACAGATAGGACAGTTGTGTGATTTTTTTTTTTTTAAGTCAAGACTAATTTGGCCTTGTAAAGAAGCCTGCTTTGGATGCTGCTTTGGGCTCCTTGGTTTCCTTATTTGTAAACTTTACATTGATAGGTGGTGTGTCTAAAATGAAGCAATGAGTGTAAATTGAGTATCCAGAGATGGTAATGAAGAGTGACATTAATTATTTCAGTAACTGATTCATACATGTTTATTACCCTTTACAAGGCTACAAACTATTTACCTGTAGACCTAAATAAGAGTCCTTTTCCAGTGATAAGAGGGCAGTTATAAGGCTATTCTCTGAAGGCTTCAAGATCCCTCCCATCTTTGGTTTATCTTGCTGAATAATAGTTAAAAGACAATTAATATTCTAGGGAACTTGATGCTGAAAAAAATGCAATAAATAGGTTGTAAGCCCTGCCAAAACCAAATTTATAGTGCCTGGAGTGCTCTCTGTCCTTTTGCCAAGTCTCCCTATTTCAAAAAATGAGGTTGAACCTAATCTCCTTGTGATACTGGGTCGTTGGAAAAGTCCTAATGCACTTTTGTGTAGAAAACATAGAAAATACTCATGACTTTTCTGTACAGTAGATTATAATAACTCCACACAGGGTGACCAGGGTGACCCAAAGTTCAGTAGTAGGTGAACAGCATGGGATTCCTTCCTCCTGTTTTTTTCTGCCCTGAAAAGGGAAGGGACACTTCTCTAAGTTTGCCAGATAATGTTCTTCAGACTAACTGCATTTCAGAATTACTCATTTATACAGTTGGATTCTTGTCAAGGTGGGGGAGAATAACTTTGAAAAGGGACTGTATAAAAATTTCTAGAATGCATTGCAGATACTTATTATCTATTTTATTGGGTGAGGACAAAACTAACTTAGCTCATTATATATTATGGCTTTGTTATAGTCAAGCTCAGATTCCTTAATATACTTACAATACAAAGAAATTTAAGTTGAATAGGCTCAGTTTTGGGATTTTTTTTGAGAGTTTCATTATATGTCTGGGAAATTAAGATCACGAGAGTTGATAAAAGTTCAGTGATAAAAATCAAGACATACCATGCTTTGTGAACTATAAAGCATTATATAAATTATAATTGCTAACAACTTGTTGGGTATGTATGTGACAGACACTGTACCAAGAGTTTTATGTTTTTTTTTTTTTTTTATTTAATCTTCCTAGTAAACTTGTAAGATTTGCTTCTAGTTCTTCCATTTTACAGATGAGTGTTGGGAGAACACAAGTCAGAATTTGAATCCAGTCTGTTGGCCTCCAGATCTGTGCTTTTTATTTATTTTATTTTTTAAAGAATTGTTTTGTGGGACCAGCAGTTAGTGTAATGGCTATGTCGCTGGACTCCCATGTAGTCGACCACGGTTTGTGTCCCGGACCCGGTGGCTTAAAACTCACACTGGGCGCATGTGCGTGCGTGCGTGCCCAAGATCCCGAGAGGAGAATGGAGGGAGGAGAAGGGATTGCAGTGTGGCCATTCCCCCTGGGGGGTGATTTCTTGCTTTCTGTCTGTCTCTGTCTGGTGAGTGCACCCGCCCTATAGCAAAAAACCTCTTTAAGGAAAAAAAAAAAAAGGATTATTTTGTTTAACTTTATTTACTGTTTTTAAAAATTATTTTATTTGACTTTATTTATTTATTTTACTTTAATTTGACCAGAGAGGGACACAGTGTGTATGTATGAGAGAGAGGGAAAGTGAGAAAGCAAGCCGCCAGGTCTGGGACTCAAACTGCTGTTGACCATATGGGAGTCCAGCACCCTTAACCACAACGCCATCTGCCAGCCCCCAGATCTGTGCTTTTTAAACACTTCACTATACTGTCTTTACCAGATCTTTACCACATTTTAAAGTGGTAGAATGTGGACAAAGATAGTCTACAATTTAAAGTTAGTTCTCACTTAATCTGTAATGGAGATTTAGATAAAAACAACCAAATGTTGATATTCCACAAACAAAAAGAAACAGAATAAAGGGTTGTATGGAAGTTTCTCTAACTCAAGACGTTGCTGTGTGAAGGGTTGCTGATAAATTTTCCTAGCGGTAAAGCTTTGTTTAAACTTCATGATATAATTAAACATTTTTTGCAGTCACATCAAGTATCAGGTCTCCTGGTATAGCAACTCCAAATTACCAACCTTGAATAAAACATTCATAAACTTCCTAGGCATTCATTTTCTCATTCATAAAGTGAGGGGTGTAGCATAGGCTTTTGCTAAGGTCTCTTCCCCAAATTCCATGATTGATAATATCCAAATTTGCTGATGCTACTTAAAGTGATATTGTATCTTGTGGCACTTTACAAATTGGAAAGATGTGCATATTTCAGACCCCTCCCCTCCATGTTTAATGGATCGTAAGAAAGGTGGACTTAGATGGTACTTCTTTTGGTAAAATACTTTCTATGGTGGGCCAGTAGGTGGTGTGGTGGTTAAAGGTACTGGACTCCCACATGGCTGACCACAGTTTGAGTCCTGGACCTGGTGGCTTGCTTTTTTCACTTGCCCTCTCTCGTGCTTTCTCTTTTTGGCTAAATTTTAAAATAATGAATAAAATTAAATAAAATAATTTAAAAAAAGAAAACTTCCTGCAGACCAGCAGGTGGTGTAACAGTTATGTCGCTGGACTCCCACGCTGTCGACCATGGTTCAAGTCCTGGACCTGGGTGCTTGAAACTCACACTGGGCCTATGTGCATGCATGTCCCAAGAGGAGAATGGGGGAGAAGGGATTGTGGTGTGGCCATCTCCCCTGGGGATGATGCCTCACTTTCTGTCTCTGGTGAGCACATGTACCCTATAACAAGAATCTCTCTTAAGAAAGAAAGAAAGGGAGGAAGAAAGATTTTTTTCATCAAATACTTCTTACTTTGAAGAATATTCCTTTTTGGGGGACCAGCAGGTGGCATAATAGTTACGTCGCTGGACTTAAACACGCAGTTGAGTACAGTTCAAGTCCCAGATGGAGTGGTTTAAGCTCGTGGGAGCCTGTGGGGGGGGTGTGTGCCCAAAATCTCAAGAGGAGAATGGAGGAGAAGGGAATGCGTCATGGCCACTCTCCTGGGGGGTGATTTCTCCCTTTCTGTAGCAAGTATCAAATCTCTCAAATAGAAAAAAGCCTTTTTTGTTTCTTTTATGGTTTTAATTTGCGATAGGGCACATGCACTTGCTAGAAAGACAGGGGTGGTGAGAAAGCACCCTCAAGGGAGATGGCCATGTCTGTCCCTTCCCCTTCATTCTCCTCTTAGGATTTTGAGTATGCACATATACATGCCCAGGGCTGCATTTTTTTTTTTTTTAAGTCACCTGGTCCAGGACTTGAATTGCACACACAGCTGGCCATGTGAAATCCAGCTGCCTTAGCCACCATGCCACTGACTAGCCTTGGGAATATGCCTTTTGAGGGTACAGAATGTGTAAAGGAGCTGGCAGGTAGCCAGGTAGCGTGGTACTTAAGGGCACTGGACCTCCCACATGGCCGACCGCTGTTCGAGTCCCGGACCTGATGGCTTGCTTTCTCACTTTTCCTCTCTTTCTGTCTCTGTCTCTCTCTCTCTCTCTTTCTCTCTCTCACACACACACACACACTGTTCTTCTCTGGTCAAATTTAAATAAATAAATAAAAATAAAGTAATAATTTGTTATTTATTTTTTGGGGGGAGAGGTTTTTGCTATAGGGTG